CTCTGGTTCCTTGGTTCTCTGGTTCCTGGTGGTCTCCTCTGGTTCCTCGTGGTCTTCCTCTGGTTCCTCGTGGTTCCTCTGGTTCCTCGTGGTTCCTCTGGTTCCTCTGGTGGTGGTCTCCTCTGGTTCCTCTGGTTCCTGGTCTCCTCTGGTTCCTCGGTGGTCTCCTCTGGTTCCTCTGGTGGTTCCTCGGTGGTCTCCTCTGGTTCCTCTGGTGGTCTCTCTCTGGTTCCTCTGGTTCCTGGTGGTCTCCTCTGGTTCCTGGTGGTCTCCTCTGGTTCCTGGTGGTCTCCTCTGGTTCCTCGGTGGTCTCCTCTGGTTCCTGGTGGTCTCCTCTGGTTCCTGGTGGTCTCCTCTGGTTCCTGGTGGTCTCCTCTGGTTCCTCGGTGGTCTCCTCTGGTTCCTCGGTGGTCTCCTCTGGTTCCTCGTGGTCTCCTCTGGTTCCTGGTTCTCTCCTCTGGTTCCTGGTGGTCTCCTCTGGTTCCTGGTGGTCTCCTCTGGTTCCTGGTGGTCTCCTCTGGTTCCTGGTGGTCCTCTGGTTCCTGGTGGTCTCCTCTGGTTCCTGGTGGTCTCCTCTGGTTCCTCGGTTCCTCGTGGTCTCCTCTGGTTCCTGGTGGTCTCCTCTGGTTCCTCTGGTTCCTGGTGGTCTCCTCTGGTTCCTCTGGTTCCTCTGGTCTCCTCTGGTTCCTGGTGGTCTCCTCTGGTTCCTGGTGCCTCCTCTGGTTCCTCTCCTCTGGTTCCTGGTGGTCTCCTCTGGTTCCTGGTGGTCTCCTCTGGTTCCTGGTGGTCTCCTCTGTAGATCCTGGCGTACGGGGACATGAATCACGAGTGGGTGGGGAACGAGTGGCTCCCGAGTCTGGGCCTGCCTCAGTACAGGTCCTACTTCATGGAGTCTCTGGTCGACGCCCGAATGTTGGACCATCTGACCAAGAAGGAGCTGAGGGGACAACTCAAGATGGTCGACAGCTTCCACAGGTGTGTAGACCTGGTTTAGTCCTGGTTTAGACCTGGTTTAGACCTGGTTTAGACTTGGTTTAGTCCTGGTTTAGACCCTGGTTTAGACTTGGTTTAGTCTGGTTTGGTTTAGTCCTGGTTTAGACCTGGTTTAGACTTGGTTTAGTCCTGGTTTAGACCTGGTTTAGACTCTGGTTTAGTCCTGGTTTAGACCCTGGTTTAGACTGGTTTTTAGACCTGGTTTAGTCCTGGTTTAGTTCTGGTTTAGACTTGGTTTAGACCTGGTTTAGACCTGGTTTAGACCTGGTTTAGTCCTGGTTTAGACCTGGTTTAGACCTGGTTTAGTCCTGGTTTAGACCTGGTTTAGTCCTGGTTTAGACCTGGTTTAGTCCTGGTTTAGACCTGGTTTAGTCCTGGTTTAGTTCTGGTTTAGACTTGGTTTAGTCCTGGTTTAGTTCTGGTTTAGACTTGGTTTAGACCTGGTTTAGACCTGGTTTAGTCCTGGTTTAGACTTGGTTTAGTCCTGGTTTAGTTCTGGTTTAGACTTGGTTTATTCCGGGTATAGACCTGGTTTAGACCTGGTTTAGTCCTGGTTTAGTCCTGGTTTAGTCCTGGTTTAGCCCAGACTTAGACCTGAAAGAAGCAGTTTCCTGAACACTTGCTTTTTGCTCAGGTGTGTGTGTGTGTGTGTGTGTGTGTGTGTGTGTGTGTGTGTGTGTGTGTGTGTGTGTGTGTGTGTGTGTGTGTGTGTGTGTGTGTGTGTGTGTGTGTGTGTGTGTGTGTGTGTGTGTGTGTGTGTGTGTGACCCCTGTGTGACCTCCGTGTGACCTCTGACCTCTGCAGGGTCAGCATGCATTACGGCATCATGTGCCTGAAGCGCCTGAACTACGACAGGAAAGAGCTGGAGCGGAGGAGGGAGGAGAGCGCCACCGTCAACAACGGTGAGTAACCACGGCAACCGCCATTATAACCCCCACCATGACAACCACCATGACAACAGACACCACGACAACCACCATAGCAACCGCCATAACGACCACCATAGCAACCACCATGACAACAACCACCATAACACTATAACAACCATCATAGCAACCAACCATGACAACCACCATAACAACAACTACCATAGCAACCACCATAGCAACCACTATAGCAACCACCATAACAACCACCATAACAACCACCATAACAACACACCATAACAACCATCATAGCAACCACCATAGCAACCATAACAACAACCACCATGACAACCACCATAACAACAACCACCATGAAACAACAACACCAAACAACCACCATAACAACCACCATAACAACCACCATAGCAACCATAACAACAACCACCATAGCAACCATAACAACAACCACCATGACAACCACCATAACAACAACCACCATGACAACCACCATCCATGACAACCACCAAACAACCACCAAACAACCACCATAACAACCACCATAACAACCACCATAGCAACCACCATAGCAACCAAAACAACAACCACCATGACAACTACCATAGCAACCACCATAGCAACCACCATAACAACCACCATGACAACCACCATGACAACCACCATAACAACTACCATAACAACCACCATAGCCACCACCATAGCAACCAAACAACACCATGACAACCACCATAACAACAACTACCATAGCAACCACCATGCAACCAACTACAACATATATAGCAACCACTATAACAACCACCATAAAACCACCATGACAACCACCATGACAACCACCATAACAACCACCATAACAACCATCATAGCAACCACCATAGCAACCATCACAGCAACCACCATAACGACCACATTAACAACAACCACCATGACAACCACCATAACAACCACTATAGCAACCACCATAACAACCATAACAACCATAACAACCACCATAGCAACCACCATAACAACCACCATGACGACCACCATAACAACCATAACAACCACCGACAGCCACCATCATAGCAACCAAAAAAAACTACCGTCATCATACCAGGAACCAATAGATCATAATAATAACAGTACTAGTAACACTGGGGAGATCATGGATTCTGTTGCCGTGGTGATCGTGGCGGCCATCTTGTGACTGTAGGTTGAGCAAAACTCAAATACAAAATAATAATAAAACCAAGGCCTGAAAAACCTTGTTGTTAATTAAAGGGTTTTACATAAATAAATATAACTGTGAATTTGAGTGTAATAACGCAGAGCTGTCCCGTCTCTGTCAGGAGGAGTCCTCTCTGTAAACACTGCTCTGGTCTGTGTTTTGTGAAGACTTGAACTGTGTGTGTGTGTGTCTCTGGACATGACACATCGCTTTGGCTCCAACAAACTCCACTTGACTTTGTACGGAAACACCGCAGACTCTCTCTTTTTAACTGTGGTTGTTGAGCTCGTCGTCGTCGTCGTGACCTCGGCGTTAGTATCAGATTTGACTGACAGCTGTGCAAAGTGCCGTCGTCTCTGCCAGTGTAAATAAACTAAAGTCAAACGGTTTCACAATCGTTCCATGAGCTGATTATTCATTATTCAACGAAAGAACTTTAAGACGTAAGATTAATGTGACAAGTTTGTGGAGCTGATCCCAAACAAATAATGAGAAGGAGGAATATTTGTGGAGAAGTTTGGAGATTTCTTCTACAAAAACAGTGAATCTCCCGTAGAGATAAGACAGACTCCCAAACAACACCTGTAATCTGCTTTTACTCTCTGTAAACCTGTTCTAATGTGAGGAAATGTCCCGCAGTGGAGCTTTAACTGTTCTAATCTGAGGAAATGTCCCGTAGTGAGGCATTAATCCTGTTCTAACCTGAGAAATTGTTCCACAGTGTGGCTTTAACTGTGTTCTAATGTGATGAAATGTCCCTAAATGGAGCTTTAATCCTGTTCAAATGTGTGGAAATGTCCCGCAGTGGAGCTTTAACATGAGGAAATGTTTCGTAGTGGGGCTTTAACTCTGTGCTAATGTGATGAAATGTCCCTCAGTGGAGCTTTAACTGTTCTAACGTGAGGAAATGTTTCGTAGTGAAGCTTTATGTGAGGAAATGTTCCATAGTGGGGCTTTAACTGTTCTAACGTGAGGAAATGTCCCGCAGTGGGGCTTTAACTGTTCTAATGTGATGAAATGTTCCTCAGTGGGGCTTTAACATGAGGAAATGTTTTGTAGTGGGGCTTTAACTCTGTTCTAATGTAAGGAAATGTCTCACAGTGGGGCTTTAATCCTGTTCTAACGTGAGGAAATGTTTCGTAGTAGAGCTTTAAACCTGTTCTAAAGTGAAGAAATCTTCCACAGTTGGACTTTAATGTGAGGAAATGTCCCGCAGTGGGGCTTTAACTGTTCTAACATGAGGAAATGTCCCGCAGTGGGGCTTTAACTGTTCTAACATGAGGAAATGTCCCGCAGTGGGGCTTTAACTCTGTCCTAAGTGAAGAAATGTTTCATAGTGAAGCTTTAAACCTGTACTAACGTGAGAAAATGTTCCACAGTGGAGCTTTAATCCTGTTCTAATGTGAGGAAATGTCCCGCAGTGGAGCTTTAACTGTTCTAACGTGAGGAAATGTTTCGTAGTGAATCTTTATGTGAGGAAATGTTCCATAGTGGAGCTTTAACTGTTCTAACGTGAAGAAATGTTCTATAGTGGAGCTTTAAACCTTTTCTAACGTGAGAAAATGTTCCGCAGTGGAGCTTTAACTGTTCTAAAGTGAATAAATGTTTCGTAGTGAAGCTTTAAACCTGATCTAAAGTGAGGACATGTTCCACAGTAGGGCTTTAATGTGAGGAAATGTCCCGCAGTGGGGCTTTATCTCTGTTCTAAAGTGAAGAAATGTTTCCTAGTGAAGCTTTAAACCTGTTCTAATGTGAGAAAATGTTCCGCAGTGAAGCTTTAATCTTGTTCTAAAGTGAGAAATTGTTCCGCAGTGGGGCTTTAATGTGAGGAAATGTCCCGCAGTGAAGCTTTAACTCTGTTCTAACATGTGCAAATGTTCCACAGTGGAGCTTTAATCCTGTTCTAATGTGAGGAAATGTTTCGTAGTGAATCTTTATGTGAGGAAATGTTCCATAGTGGAGCTTTAACTGTGTTCTAAAGTGAGAGAAATGTTCCGCAGTGAAGCTTTAATCTTGTTCTAACGTGAGAAATTGTCCCGCAGTGGAGCTTTAATGTGAGGAAATGTCCCGCAGTGGAGATTTAACTGTTCTAGCATGAGGAAATGTTCCACAGTGGGACTTTAACTCTGTTTTAACGTGAGGAAATGTCCCGTAGTGGAGCTTTAACTGTGTTCTAACATGAGGAAATGTCCCGCAGTGGAGCTTTAACTGTTCTAACATGAGGAAATGTCCCGCAGTGGAGCTTTAACTGTGTTCTAACATGAGGAAATGTCCCGCAGTGGGGCTTTAACTGTGTTCTAAAGTGAAGAAATGTTCCGCAGTGAAGCTTTAATCTTGTTCTAACGTGAGAAATTGTCCCGCAGTGGGGCTTTAATGTGAGGAAATGTCCCGCAGTGGAGATTTAACTGTTCTAACATGAGGAAAATGTCCGCAGTGGAGCTTTAATGTGAGGAAATGTCCCGCAGTGGAGCTTTAACTGTTCTAACATGAGGAAATGTCCCGCAGTGGAGCTTTAATGTGAGAAATGAAGCTTTAACTGTGTTGTTCCGCAGTGGAGATTTAACTGTTCTAACATGAGGAAATGTTCCACAGTGGGACTTTAACTCTGTTTTAACGTGAGGAAATGTCCCGCAGTGGAGCTTTAACTGTCTGAAGCCGCCTGTGGTCGTGTTCAGTTCGTGCTCGTTCGAGTCGTCTGCAGGTTCAGTTTTTTGTTTTTTTTTTGTTTTTTTTTTGAGCCTCTAAAATCTCTCGGGGCTAATTCTTGTCGTTGTGAGGCCGAGGTGGGCGGGTGGGCGGAGCTTCGCCTGTGTAATTATTATTCCTTCATTTGTTCGTTACAAATCCTCCTTCTGTGTAATTAAGACAATTAACCTCCTGAATAGAGCGGAATCTGGGGAATTTTCAGTTCTCGTTTTGAAAAGGGGATTTCCGGCGTCGGCTGAAGAAGAAAATTGGAGAAAACATTAAAAAAAAGTCTCCGATAACCTGGAGGCGCGTGAGTGGAGCAGGTTAAATCAGGCTAAAACTCTAACTGCACCAGAATGTACTTAAACATGAGTATTCTAGATCTGGTTTGTTTCTCTGGAATGTTCCGCAGTATGACATTGAACTCTAAACTCTAAATTTGTTTTTCAAAATAAAACCAAAAATAAGAAAAGAAAAACAACAACAATTATTTTCTTCATTATTTGTCTCCAAAACCAAAATGAAAAAAACAAATAACGGCCGTTTTATGTGATTTAAAATGAGACCAGACTGAACTGAACCAGGACTAAACCAGGACTAAACCAAGACTAAACCAGGACTGAACCAGGACTGAACCAGGACTAAACCAGGACTAAACCAGGACTGAACCAGGACTAAACCAGGACTAAACCAGGAACTAACCAGGAACTAAACCAGGACTAACCAGGACTACACTAGGACTAAACCAGGACTGAACCAGGACTAAACCAGGACTGAACCAAGACTGAACCAGGACTGAACCAGGACTAAACCAGGACTAAACCAGGACCGAAACCAGGACCGAACCAGGTCTAAACCAGGATTGGACCAGGACCGAACCATTACTAAACCAGGATTGAACCAGGACTAAACCAGGACCGAACCAGGTCTAAACCAGGATTGGACCAGGACTGAACCAGGACTAAATCAAGACAAAAACAGGTCTAAAACAGGACTAAAACAGGACTAAACCAGGATTAAACCAGTACTGAACCAAGATCAAACCAGGACTGAACCAGGACTAAACCAGGACTAATCCAGGACTAAACCAGGACTAAACCAGGTCTAAACCAGGATTAACTTAATGAAATATGATTGGCTCAGACGACTGTCAATCTCAAACTTCGATCCTTCACTGATTTACCCGGATACCACTGGATTTACGCTCTGCTTGTTTCCACGGAGATGCACACATTTAATGCCACACTGCGGATCATTCTAGGCCTGAGACTCTCCCGTCACGTCTCCAGACTCACGCTTTAGCCGTAGCTTTGGATCGTTTTGATAATCTTGATAAATGTTAGCGTAGCATTCCAGTAAAAATAAGCGGATACGCGCCTGACGAGCGTTTGCGTAATCCTGGTGCATTTCTGCGATATCGGAGGTTCAGATTTACGGCCCCCCCTTCAGATCACGTCCGGGAGCGCAGCCAAAACACAGCAGCTGCAGAGTAATTATCAAACATTAGAGCTTTTTCACAACGGTCAGATGTGATGTTTTGGTCCTCAGATGTGATGTTTTGTGTTTTCAGATGTGATGTTTTGGTTTTCAGATGTGATGTTTTGTTGTGTCCTCATATGTGATGTTTTGGTCCTCAGGTGTGATTTTTTTGTGTCCTCAGATGTGATGCTTTGGTCTTCAGATGTGACGTTTTCTGTCCTCAGATGTGATGTTTTGTGTCCTCAGATGTGACGTTTTGAGTCCTCAGATGTGATGTTTTGTGTCCTCAGATGTGACGTTTTCTGTCCTCAGATGTGATGTTTTGTGTCCTCAGATGTGACGTTTTGTGTCCTCAAATGTGACGTTTTGATCCTCAGATGTGATGTGTTGTGTCCTCAGATGTGATGTTTTGGTCCTCAGATGTGATGTATTGGTCCTCAGATGTGATGTTTTGGTCCTCAGATGTGATGTTTTGGTCCTCAGATGTGATTTTTTTGTGTCCTCAGATGTGATGCTTTGGTCTTCAGATGTGACGTTTTCTGTCCTCAGATGTGATGTTTTGTGTCCTCAGATGTGACGTTTTGTGTCCTCAAATGTGACGTTTTGATCCTCAGATGTGATGTGTTGTGTCCTCAGATGTGATGTTTTGTGTCCTCAGATGTGATGTATTGGTCCTCAGATGTGATGTTTTGGTCCTCAGATGTGATGTTTTGGTCCTCAGATGTGATGTTTTGGTCCTCAGATGTGATGTTTTGGTCCTCAGATGTGATGTTTTGGTCCTCAGATGTGATGTTTTGTGTCCTCAGATGTGATGTTTTGTGTCCTCAGATGTGATGTTTTGGTCCTCAGATGTGATGTTTTGTGTCCTCAGATGTGATGGTTTGGTCGAACGAGCGCGTGATGCTGTGGGTCACGTCCATCGGGTTGAAGGAATACGCCGACAACCTCCGAGAGAGCGGCGTCCATGGGGCTCTGCTCGCTCTGGACGACACGTTTGACTACACCGACCTGGCCCTGCTGCTGCAGATCCCCAACCAGAACACACAGGTAACACAACCACAACACACAACACAACCAGAACACACAGGTAACACAACCACAACACACAACACAACCAGAACACACAGGTAACACAACCACAACACACAGGTAACACAACCACAACACACAACACAACACACGTAACACACACACACACACACGTAACAACACAACCACAACACACACGTAACAACACAACCACAACACACACGTAACAACACAACCACAACACACACGTAACAACACAACCACAACACACACGTAACAACACAACCACAACACACATGTAACACAACCTCAACACACATGTAACAACACAACCACAACACACAACACAACCTCAACACACACGTAACAACACTAACACAACCACAACACACAACACAACCACAACACACAGGTAACACAACCACAACACACAACACGACCAGAACACACAGGTAACACAACCACAACACACACGTAACAACACAACACACAGGTAACACAACCACAACACACAGGTAACACACAACACAACAGAACAACAGGTAACACACAACACAACAACACACAGGTAACACACTAACACAACCAGAACACACAGGTAACAACACTAACACAACCAGAACACACAGGTAACACAACCACAAACACACACGTAACAACACAACCAGAACACACAGGTAACAACACTAATACAACACACAGGTAACAACACTAACACAACACACAATACAACCACAACACACACGTAACAACACGACCAGAACACACAGGTAACAACACTAACACAACACACAGGTAAATTCAGGAGCTGCACTCAGAGTTGAAGATCACATTTGTGTTTAATCCGTGTATCATTCATTCATTTCATTCATTTGTTTTTCAAAATAAAACCAAAAATAAGAAAATGAAAAAAACAAAAATGTTCTTCATTATTTGTCTCAAAAACCAAAATGAAAAAACAGATAACGAGTAACAGTTTGCGATTTTGTGTTTAAATGAAAAATGGAAAACAGATAACGTCCATTTCCCGTTTACGTGACTTAAACTGCGATGCTGGACTAAAGCAGGACTGAACCAGGACTAAAACAGGACTTAAAACAGGACTAAACCAGAACTGAAACAGGACTGAGTGTCGGGATGGGTCTGGAGGTGCGCCTGTGTAAACCGTTGGGTGACCGCAGGTGAAAGAACCGGTGCAGAGCTCCACGTCCCACAGGGTGAAGCCCAACTGTCGCCCAATCACACTTTCAAACACCCTGCTCCACTGGCTCGAGGTTCTCTCTCTCTCAAGTCCAAGATTAGTCCTGTGTTAGACCTGGTTCAGTCCCTGTTTAGTCCTGGTTCAGTCCGGCGTTGCAGTTTAAGTCACGGAAACGGGAAACGGCCGTTATCTGTTACTTTTTCCATTATTCATTAAACCCATAATTGAAAACTAAAAAACTAATTGTTATTGTTTTTTTTCATGTTGGTTTTGGAGACAAATAATGAAGAAAACATTTTATTTATTTTTTTTTCATATTTTTGGTTTTATTTTGAAAAACAAATGAGTCTATTATAGTTCAAATGTACGACACTCGTGGATCATTATGTTTTTATTTACACATTTTAAATCATAATTATTAGTTATTATTATTACAATTTAGTTAAAGAAACGGTTTGCAGACTCCTGCTTTAGAAAGACCAGTGGGAGCTGACGCCGCCGTAAACAACATCATCATGACCAGTGTCCGTGTTATGGAGTCGTGGGGCTAAATGTGTAAACGACTCATTCCGCACACGCCAGAACTAAAGGAAAACAGTGACCTCATTTTACAGCTCCGACCTCCTCCTGACCTCTGACCTCTGACCTCTGACCCGATCAAAGCGTCTCCTCTGACCGGAGCCACATGCGGAAAATCACAACCTCTGATCAGACACAGAGGGGCAGGAGGAGAGCGCACTTTCACCTTCCACACACCGACGTCTTCATTTCAGAGGGAAATACTGATGATACTGAAGTGACGTCACACGAGGACTGTGCAAAAACACTGAAATATCCTTATAGATCGTCTCGTTTAATGTGATGATACAGGATCGATATCGTGGGCTGCTGTATCGATACATCACCCAGAGTATTTTTTGGTTTATTTTACTACATTATTTTGTTACAGTTTTGTTGTTTTAGAGCGGGATTGCTCAATACGTTGATCACGATCTACCAGTCGATCTCCAAGGTCGTGTGGGTAGATCGCCGTGTCTCGTCTCGGACTCGCGTTTGGACTCGGTCTTGTCTCTCACTCGAGGTCTGACACTCAACAAGTGTGATCATATTTCATTCCGGCCGCTGCTGTTGGTAATAAACTTGTAGCGGGTGCAGGAGCGTGTGGGGCGTCTCAGTGCAGCCTGTGCGCTCATTTGAAACCCGCGGAGACTCTACGGCGCATCACAAACACACACGCTCCCTATGCACGGCTCGTCTGCGACAGCGTGTGCCCTCGTGTACCAGCGTGCATCACAGGGCAGGTTCAACTTCCTAAACATCCTACCTGTCCATCTGCCTCACGTCAGCACGCCGCCCCTCGCCTTTTCACGCTCTCGCTCCTTCCTGCGTACAGCCAACACAAGCCCCTCCCACAGTGCGGCTGATTAGAAGAGCAAGACCAAACGTGAAGCAAAAACCAGTCTAAATTTGTGTTCCAGTGTTGGCACAAAGCAGGTCTACAGCATAGAGCGGATCTACAGAACAGACCTACTGCCACATTTGACTGAAGTTTGTCTAACAAAAGTGACAAATGCATCTGTGTTTGTCACAATGTGCGTTTGGTTTGGTAAACGTGCAGAGGCTGGTAAATATCACTGCAAAACCACAAAAGAATGAAACTCCAGTTTGGAACTTTAAAAAACAGGTTTAAAAATCTTCCTTCACTTTTTTCACAGTTTTGTGTAAAGTGTCAGAGGAAGTTCTCTTAAAGAAGAGGTTCTCAAACTGTGGGGGAGGGTCCAAAAAAGAGGCACAGAGTGTTTCAGTGCAGTTTGTTTGGTTTTGTATTAGGTCGATCTTTATGACTTGGTCATTTTGTAAGTAGATCACATGCTGAAAAAGTGTGATCAGCCCTGGGTTAGAGGAAGGAAACTCGTTTACGGGACATATTTGACATTTTGAGGATTAAAATGTTTGTGTTTTATATGAACTTTGCACAAGAAGTGATTTAAGACTTTTAATATCACAAACATGATTTAGACTTTAGTTTTATTGAATCGTAGAAGTCGATTTGAAATATATCGTATTGAATCGTATTGAATCAAAAGATCTGTATCATATCAGCAACTTTTTAATGATCCCCATGAGGCGTGTAACGGTTCATGTTTGTGCTGAACTGTTTGAGTTCAGGACGTTTGGTTGCAGGGTTGTGCACGCGTGAGTTTGTGGTCACTACATGTGCAGCTACACAGAGACTCGGCTCTTTAATATTCACAAGGAACTCGTCCGTGATTGGTTCAGTGTTTCCAGCAGCGCTTTATAGTTAGAGCGACGCCTTCAGGACAACTGCCCCCGACCTGACTACGTCCCTCCGAACCACGAGAATCCTGTAAAACTACAGTCACCACGCCGCAGTCCACACTCTCGCCTTTCTCTGGCACAGAATCCCCCGCCCCTCATACCCCGACCTCTGTCCGAGGCAGAAGTGTATTTTCAGCCGCTGGGGACGTTGTTCCTGCAGCAGATCTGTTTTTACTGCAGACAATGTGGACAAGTTGTTTTTTTTTCTGGCCAAAAATCAGAAGATTGAGTAAAAGTTCATGCTGGAACTGTTAGTGCTGCACTTTACTTCTGGTCCCGGTCAAGCAGAAGTAAACAACAAGGCCCAAAATTCAAGTTAATTCATCTGATATAAAACAGTATTGAACAGATACATATGTACTCTAGTTTATGAAACTGTTGACCTTTTTTCTGTACCATTTTTGGTTCTAAAGTTCCATATGTTTTAAACAGACCATGAATGAAACATGGAACAAAAATTATTTCCCAAATTTCAAAGACACCAAAAATCATGTAAATAAATGTTTGTATTTCATCATATCTTGTGTTATTCCATCTTTGAACTGTTGATGAAGGGACATGATTTAAAAAAAAAAAAAAGTATTTAAAATGATAAAAATGTTCTTGGAAGGACTGACATATTTTATAGAAATAGTTTCCTTTCATTTTGAAGTAATATTAAAATATTCAGAGGAAAAAGCGACAAATGATGTAAAATCCTGCTCCTTCTACTTGTTTGTACAATTTTCCCTCCGTTACTTTTCCCTCCGTTACCATGAACTTTCTTAATAAAAAATCTCATGAGTCAAAAAGTCAGAGGTTTTTCAACCTAATCTTGTACCATATGGTAGAAAACTATATGAAGCAAATATTCAAACCAGTTTGTTAAGGATATGGAAGTGAGAACCAAGAGTTATCACTGTTTGGATTTATTGACCAAAAAGTGCTGCATATTTCATTCCCTCCGTTACCGACATGAGTTTTTCAATTTTTTTCTCAACAACTTGAAAGAATCTCACAGGTTTAACTTGACCCTGTTGGAGTGTAACTCTTTCCTACATTCTGATACTTTACTTATTTCAATAGTTCCTCTAGTTTCTGAATAAGAGACATTTGAATGTTTTCCTCCGTTAACACTTGACTGGACCCATTTTGAAGTTTTGTTTACTGTTTACATGGAATTCATTTTTAAAATAATATTTCATACTTTTGTTGCTTATTTGAGAATATTTTATTGAACTTATTAGTGATTTCAAGCAGCATTTATTAGATTTTCCCGTTTGTGTAATGTTGAAACAAATTGTTGGTTTAATAAAAACACAAATGACCTCAAACCCGAGGAACGTACCGAGCCGCGATTTTTGTACCGTTACACCCCGAATACCAAACCCTGTTCTACATGTACCTCTGTGGCGCAATGTTCAGCGGTTTCCATGGCGACACAGCGCACACATTCACAAACACTGACAAAAAAAGATTTAAGATCGTCTGAAAACCTGAGAAAAAAAAACCCAGAAAAGTAATTTAAAGTGCATGTGTTTGTTTCGCTGTGATCGTTTTTTTTTTTTTTTTTGTTTTTTTTTGTTTTTTTTTTTGTGGCGGTGACATGATCTGAGAGGAACTCGTTTAACGGCTCAGATCTGCTCCTCGCCTCTTCTGTTTTATTCTTTAAGTCAAAGCTCATTAAAGTTTCAGCGAGCTGTTGACGGAGCGGCGCCCGGGGCCGGCGTCACGGCCTCGGGGACGACGACGGCGACAGCTGCGACGTAAACACAGACCCACAAACATCCACAGACCTGAACCGACCTGAACCCGACGCAGCTCCACAAACGAGTCGCACCAACCTGAAACCTCAAACACGCACGACCGTTCACGACTCGCACCAACGACCCGTGTTTGGAGAACGAGTTATAAAAGTAACAGATTACTGACGAATGTAATATTTGACTGTACAAATGTGAGTATCGCGCGTCACAAAGATTTTTTAACCTGGATTGAAGTGGTGGGTTTTTCGTTTTTCTTCAGACAAATTCGCTAAAATCACGGCGACATCAGCAGCGGTGAAACGCCGTCGTTATGGTTCCGAATGTCGGGACGGGCCCAGAGACGCGCCCGCGTAGACCGTCAGGTGACCGCGAGCGAAAGGTTCCAAGTTCTAGTCCAAGATTAGACCTGGTTTAGTCCTACTTTAGACCTGTTTTAGACCTGGTTCAGTCCAGGTTCAGCTCTGGTTCAGTTCTGTTTTAGTTCTGGTTTAGACCTGGTTCAGTCTTGATTCAGTTCTGTTTTAGTTCTGGTTTAGTTCTGGTTTAGACCTGGTTTAGACCTGGTTTAGACCTGGTTTAGACCTGGTTCAGTCCTGGTTCACTCTTGGTTTAGTCCTGGTTTAGTCCTCGGTTCAGTCTGGGTTCAGTTCTGTTTTAGTTCAGGTTTAAACCTGGTTTAGTTCTGGTTTAGACCTGGTTTAGTCCTGGTTTAGTCCTGGTTCAGTCCTGATTTAGTCCTGGTTTAGTCCTTGGTTTAGTCCTTGGTTTAGTCCTTGGTCTAGTCCTGGTTTAGTCCTGGTTCAGTACTGATTTAGTCCTGGTTTAATCCAGGTTTAGTCCTGATTAAGTTCTGGTTTAGACCTGGTTCAATCCTGGTTTAGTCCTGGTTTAGTCCTGGTTTAGTCCTGGTTTAGTCCTGGTTCAGTCCACACACGGTGCAGAAGTTCAGCATTTTCACATTTATTTATTTCAGAGTAAATTAAAAGTTCTGAAAAATTCGTGTGATATTTCATATTTTAAACACAGTAAAGTAACAAACGACAGAAACGCGTCATAAATAAATAAATAAAACATCACAGTTTTAACGTCACTTGACCAACGACCGACGAAGACGAGTGAGGAAGAAACGATACGATACACACCTCGATACAGTGAGCTTTCGATTCGATACGATATATTTCAAATCGACTCGATACGGCTCAATAAAAATAAAGTCTAAATCATGTTTGTGAAAGTAATTTTTTGTTAAATCCTCAAAACAGTGAAAATGTCAAACGAGTTTCCTGTAACAAAATAATTTAGTAAAATAAACCAAAAAATACTCGTGGCGATATATCGATACTGAATCATCACTTTAAACGATACGATATTTTGATATTTTTGCACAGTCCAACAGACGAGTGTCACGTCTGTTTATTGTGCCACAAAAAAAAACAGGTTTAACTTTGTGCTCTCTCTCTCTCCTCTTCCTCTCATCCTTTCTTTTCTTTCTTTCTCTCTGCTCTCCCCCTTTTCTCTCCCCCTCTTCTCTCCCTCTCTTCCTCTTTTCTCTCTGTCTCTCTCCTTCCCTCTCTCTTCTCTTTTCTCTCCCTCCCCCTCCTCTCCTCCCTTCTCTCTCTCTTTTCACTTCTCTTCTCTCACGCTCCCCCTCTTTCTCTCTTCTCTTTTTTCCCCCTTTCCCCTCTCTTTTCTTTTCTCTTCTCTCTCCCGCTCTTCTTCTCTTCACTCTTCTCTCTCCTCTCCTCTCTTCTCTCTCCTCTCCTCTCCTCTCCTCTCTTCTCCTCTTTTCTCTTTCCTTTCTTCTCTCTCCTCTCTCTCTTCTCCTCTTTTTTCTCTCCTCTCTTCTCTCTCTCTCCTCTTCTCTTCTCTTTTATCTCTCTTCTCTCTCTCTTCTCTGTTCTCTCTCTCTTCTCTCTCCTCTCCTCTCTTCTCTCTCTCTCTCTCTCTTCTCTCTCCTCTCTTCTCTCTCTTCTCTGTTCTCTCTCTCTTCTCTCTCCTCTCTTCTTTCTCTTCTCTGTTCTCTCTCCTCTCTTCTCTCTCTCCTCTCCTCTCTTCTCTCTCTCTTTTCTCTCTCTCTTTCCCTCTGTCCTCTGTCTCTCCTCTCTTTCTCCCCTCTCTTCTCTCTCCTCTCTCTCCTCCTCTCTTCTTTCTCATCTCCCTCTCTCCCCTCCCTCTTCCCCTCTCTTCTCTTCTCTTTTATCTCTCTCCTCTCTCCCTTCCTCTTCTTTCCCCCCCCCTCCTCCTCTCTACTCTCTCTCTTTTCCCATCTCCCTCTCCCCGACTTTTCTTTTCTCTCCCTTTCTTCTCTCTTCTCTCTTCTCCCCTCTCTCTTCTTCTTCTTCTTCTCTCCGTCTCAGGCTCGTCAGGTTCTGGAGCAGGAGTATAATTCTCTCATCTCCATGGGAACAGAGCGACGACCTGACGAGGTAACAACAGACCTGGTTTAGACCTGGTTTAGACCTGGTTTAGTCCTGGTTTAGTCCTGTTTACTCAAAAGACCAGCTTCAATCCTAATTTAACCTTTGTTTATCTGGTTTTAGTCCTGTTTTAGTCTTTGGTTTAACCCTGATTTAATCCTTGGTTTGGTCCTAGTTTAGTCCTGGTTTAGTTCTAGTTTAGACCTGGTTTAGTCTTGGTTTAGTCCTGGTTTAGTTCTGGTCTAGTCCTGGTTTAGTTATTGGTTTAGTCCTGATTTAATCTTTACTTAAGTCCTGGTTTAGACCTGGTCTAGTCCTGGTTTAGACCTGGTCTAGTCCTGGTTTAGTCCTGGTTTAGACCTGGTTTAGTCCTGGTCTAGTCCTGTATTAGTCCTGGTCTAGTCATGGTTTAGTCCCGGTTTAGACCTGGTTTAGACCAAGTCTAGACCCTGATTTAGTCCTGTTTACTCAAAAGACCAGATTCAATCCTAATTTAACCTTTGTTTATCTGGTTTTAGTCCTGTTTTAGTCTTTGGTTTAACCCTGATTTAATCCTTGGTTTGGTCCTAGTCTAGTCCTGGTTTAGTCCTGGTTTAATCTTTACTTTACTCCTGGTTTAGTTCTAGTTCAGTCCTGGTTTAGTCCTGGTTTAGTCCTGGTTTCGTCTTGGTTTAGTCCTGGTTTAGTCCTGGTTTAGTCCTGGTTTAGTTCTGGTTCAGTCCTGGTTTAATCCTGGTTTAGTCCTGGTTTAATCTTTACTTTACTCCTGGTTTAGTCCTGGTTTAGTCTTGGTTTAGTCCTGGTTCAGTCCTGGTTTAATCCTGGTTTAGTCCTGGTTTAATCTTTACTTTAGTCCTGGTTTAGTCCTGGTTTAGTCCTGGTTCAGTCCCTGGTCCAGACCCTAACCCTCCTCCTTCTCTCAGGACGGGGCCAAAGACCTTCTCTCGCTCTCCGTCCTGGAGGAAGATGTTCAGGGAGAAGGATCTCCGCGGCGTCACGTCCGACTCGGCCGAGACGCTGCCGGCGAACTTCAGAGCGTCCGCCCTGGCCACGCCCCTCACCACCACGCCCGCCGTCACCCTGAGGAAAGTCAAACCTACTCCCGAACCTCGAAACCTCGAACCCTCGAACCCTCGAACCTCGAACCCCGAACCTCGAACCCCGAACCTCGAACCCCGAACCCCGAACCCGAACCCGAACCCCGAACCTCGAACGAACCCCGAACCCTCGAACCCCGAACCTCCGAACCTCGAAACCCCGAACCTCGAACCCTGAACCTCGAACCCCGAACCTCGAACCCGAAACCCAACCCGAACCCCGAACCTCGAAACCCGAACCCCGAACCTCGAACAAACCTCGAACCCCGAACCCGAACCCCGAACCCCGAACCTCGAACCCGAACCTCGAACCCCGAACCTCGAACCCCGAACCTCGAACCCCGAACGAACCTCGAACCTCGAACCTCGAACCCCGAACCCTCGAACCCGAACAACCTCGAACCCTCAGTCCTCATACACTGACTCAGGTCCTCACGCTGCGCCTCAGGTCTCACACACTGACTCAGGTCCTCACACTGAGCTTCAGGTCCTCACGCTGAGCCTCAGGTCCTCACGCTGAGCCTCAGGTCCTCACGCTGCGCCTCAGGTCCTCACGCTGAGCCTCAGGTCCTCACTGAGCCTCAGGTCCTCACGCTGCGCCTCAGGTCCTCACGCTGAGCCTCAGGTCCTCACACTCTGACTCCGGCTCGGCCCTCAGGCTCGTCTGAGTCAGGTTCATCCTCCAGGCTCTTTGTGTTCAGGAGAGACTCGTGAGAACAAACCCAGGAATCTGAGGAATGAAGAGCAGATTTAAGCCTCTGCTCCTCTGCTCCATCTGCTCCTCTTCTCCTCTGCTCCTCTGACCTTCTCCTCTGCTCCTCTGACCATCTTCTCTGACCTTCTGACCTCTCCCTGCCCGCCCCTGCCGCCCCTGCCGCTCCTGCCGCTCCTGCCGCCCCTGCCGCCCCTGTCTTGTTTGTGTGCGTTGTTCTGTTCGTTTCTCGGGTGGAATTTGTTGCTTCCTCCTCGGTCCGTTTAACGAGACCCACCAGGTGCTTCAAAGCCGACGAAGCCCATTATCCAAATACCTCTGGTGCAAACGGAGCAGCGGCCGACGGTTTCTGTTTCTCTGTAAAAAAACAAAACAAAAAAAACTCCTCTGGGAAAGTCTGTGTTTCCTCCTGGTTCCTCTGTCGGTCTGAGATCTTCCATCTGCTCCAGACCAGAAGATCCTGATCTCTCCACCAAAGAGCCGATATCAAACTATTCTCTGGTTTCGAATTAGACTAAACCAGGTCTACACCAGGACTAAACCAGGTCCTGGTGTAGACCTGGTTTAGTCCTGGTTTAGTCCTGGTTTAGTCCTGGTTTAGTCCCAGTTTAGACCTGGTTTAGTCCCGTTTAGTCCCGGTTTAGTCCCGGTTTAGTCCCGGTTTAGTCCCGGTGTAGTCCCGGTTTAGTCCCTTTAGCCCCGGTTTAGTCCCCCCGGTTTAGTCCTGGTTTAGTCCCGGTTTAGTCCCGGTTTAGTCCCGGTTTAGGTTTAGTCCCTGGTTTAGTCCTGGTTAGTCTGGTTTAGTCCTGGTTTAGTCCTGGTTTAGTTCCTGGTTTAGTCCTGGTCCTGGTTTAGTTGGTTTAGTCCTGGTTTAGTCCCGGTTTAGTCCCGGTTTAGTCCTGGTTTAGTCCTGGTTTAGCCCCGGTTTAGTCCTGGTTTAGTCCCTGGTTTAGTCCTGGTTTAGTCCTGGTTTAGTCAGTCTGGTTTAGTCCTGTTTAGTCCTGGTTTAGTCCTGGTTTAGTCCTGGTTTAGTCTTGGTTTAGTCCTGGTTTAGTCCTGGTTTAGTTCTGGTTTAGTCCTGGTTTAGTCCTGGTTTAGTTCTGGTTTAGTCCTGGTTTAGTCCTTTTTTAGTCCTGGTTTAGTCCTGGTTTAGTCCTGGTTTAGTCCTGGTTTAGTCCTGGTTTAGTCCTGGTTTAGTCCTGGTTTAGTCCTGGTTTAGTCCTTTTAGGTTTAGTCCTGGTTTAGTTCTGGTTTAGTCCTGGTTTAGTCCTGGTTTAGTCTTGGTTTAGTCCTGGTTTAGTCCTTGGTTTAGTCCTGGTTTAGTCCTGGTTTAGTCCTGGTTTAGTCCTGGTTTAGGTTTTTAGTCCTGGTTTAGTCCTGGTTTAGTCCTGGTTTAGTCCTGGTTTAGTCCTGTTTAGTCTGGTTTAGTCTGGTTTAGTCCTGGTTTAGTCCTGGTTTAGTCCTGGTTTAGTCCTGGTTTAGTCCTTTTAGTTTAGTCCTGGTTTAGTCCTGGTTTAGTCCTGGTTTAGTCCTGGTTTAGTCCTGGTTTAGTCGTCCCTGGTTTAGTCCTGTTTAGTCCTGGTTTAGTCCTGGTTTAGTCCTGGTTTAGTCCTGGTTTAGTCCTGTATAAATCCGTACTGGACCTGTTGTTGTTGTTGTTGTTGTTGTTGTTGTTGTTTGTGTTTTTAGCGTCGTCTGGCTCTCGCGTGGAGGCGGCGTCTGTGAGGACTTACTCCTGCTGAGGTGAGACCGAACGCCGTCCCTGAGCCCGTCACACCTGGAGTCGGGCGCGGCCGCTCGCAGCTCCACCGCGCTTAGACTAGTGGCCGCTGCCCGGTACTACACCCCAAAAAACACCCCTCAAACTGTGCGGGCGCCTGCGGGTTTCACAGAGGTCGGACTTTTTGGTCATTGTAAAATTTTTATATTCACCAAAAGAAAATAAGAGAAGAGAAGGGAAATTCCAGTGTTGCAACGCACCGTTTAAGAACAGAAAGAGAGGATTTAGTAGCGTCGCGTCGTCCTTTTTGGTACAAATGAAAAAAAGTGTGACGTGCAGCTCCACAGGAGGGACCCACAGCCCAGTTTAGTCCTGGTGTAGTCCTGGTGTAGTCCCAATTTAGTCCTGGTTTGGGTCATGTTTAGTCCTGCTTTAGTCCTGGTTTAGTCCTGGTTTAGTCCTGATTTAGTCCTGTTTTAGTCCCAATTTAGTCCCAGTTTAGTCCTGTTTTAGTCCCGATTTAGTCCTGGTTTAGTCCTGGTGGTTTAGTCCCAGTTTAGTCCTGGTTTAGTCTTGGTCTAGTCCTGGTTTAGTCCTGGTTTAGTCTTGGTCTAGTCCTGGTTTAGTCCTGATTTAGTCCCAGTTTAGTCCTGTTTTAGTCCCAATTTAGTCTTGGTTTCTCTGTTTGTTTGTTTGTTTGTTTGTTTGTCTGTTTGTTTGTTTGTTTGTTGTTTGTTTGTTTGTTTGTTTGTCTGTTTGTTTGTTTGTTTGTTGTTTGTTGTTTGTTTGTTTGTTTGTTTGTTTGTCTGTTTTGTTTGTTTTGTTTGTTTTGTTTGTTTGTTTGTTTGTTTGTTTGTTTGTCTTGTTTGTTTGTTTGTTTGTTTGTTTGTTTGTTTGTCTGTTAGCAACATAACTCAAAAAGTTATGGACCGATTTTGATGAAATTTTCAGGATTTGTTGGAAATGTGAAAAGGAAGAACTGATTTCATTTTGGGTTTGATCCGGAAGAAATCCTGGATTCTGAATCACTTTGAAATTTTAGTTCACATTGTGGTAAATGGGGCCAAACATTTAGTTTCTCAATATCTGGGTTAATTATTGACCAAACCCCATGAAATGTGACTCAGGGATGGACAATGGGATCCTCTTTCATATTCCAAAGGCTGATCCGGATCTGATCCAGAAGACGGATTTTATCTCAATTTATATAAAAAATGGGGGTGGTCCTTGGCGGAGGTCTGCGCTCTCTGACTGCTTTTCTAGTTTAGTCCTGGTTTAGTCCCGGTTTAGTCCAGGTTTAGTCCTGGTTTAGTCCACGTCAGCTCCGTTGGACTCCAATTTTCTAAAGCTGAAGTCGTCGCTCTTGTTTCTATAAGAAGTTGTTTTAGATCAAAATTGTGATTTAAAATGTCACAATTAGAACAGAACGATCCACAGGGGTCAGAGGTCAGACACCGACTCTGCAGATGCGGATTTAAAAAGAAGTTATTCATTTATTAGTAATTTATGAAGTCAGACCAAGTTTTTGTCTTTGAGTGTTTGGTTCTTTCTTCTCTTCTCTCCGTCAGGGCCCTGGGAGCCCGTCACTCGTCCACGGATCAAAACGAAAAGCAATGACCATTCTGCAATAACAGGACCGACCACAGGGGGCAGCACCGAGGAGACACCACCCCCGGGACCCGGCGCGCCCGTCTGCGCCCGTCAGCGCCCGTCTGCGCCCGTCAGCGCCCGTCTGCGCCCGTCTGCGCCCGTCAGCGCCCGTCAGCGCCCGCCCGAGGAGCCGCGGCGCTTTAAAACGACTCGAATCCACAAAACGTGCACAGACTGAAGCTTTATTTATTTATCGACGAAAAAAAAAGATGCGTCTGCAGTTTTAGAAGAAAAATATAACTTGACTCGGAACGGAAACGTGTGGAAAAAAAAGGACGAAAATATGTTAAAAAGTCCAAACGAGATTCAAACTCTGGATTCAAGTCGTTTTAAATTATGCAGATGTTCTGTGTTTCGTCGCGGAAACGGTTTGTCCCACTGCAAAAATCGTCCAAAAGAGAAACACCTGGTGACATCAGCAGGTGTAACGGAGTGTTGTGAGTGTTGTGTAGAGGGTTAAAGCCCCACTGTGGGACATTTTGTTGAATTAGAACAGTTAAAGCTCCACTGCGGGACATTTTGTTGCGTTACAAAAGGTTTGGACGTAGAACAAAGTCGGGTGACGGGAGTTTCCCCTCGTTTCTTTTTCTTTTTGTTCCACATTGTGTCTTTTAAACGAGATCATGTCACCTGGACGTTTTTTATGGCCGAACACGAATCAAAGCGGCGAGTGAAACCCGAGTCGACCCGAAGCATAAATATCGTAAATATCAAAGATCGGCGACGACAAAAGCCGCGTTTCTTTTGTTCGGCCGGAATCGGTTGAAGTGAAGTCGTAAATTTGTCCTTGAGTGAAACGCGCTCGGACCACATCACAGGGACGCCGGCTTTTGTCCCGCTGCAGCCCCAAACCCAGCCCGGATCTGGTTTTACAAGGGTCCGGTTTCTGCGCCGATGAAAGGGCGGGAGCGGCGGGAGCGGCGGGTGCGGCGGGAGCGGCGGGTGCGGCAGGTGCGGCGTATTGTCCGATTGACCACAGCTGTGTAGAACATAAATAAACCTGAGAGCGAAGACACGGAACACGAATAAACATGAACCACGTTAGTTAATTATGAATAAAAATTATTAAACTCAGAATAAAAAAAATAAAAATTCTGAATACAAGTTATTTAATTATGAATAAAAATTATGTAATTCTTAATAAAAATTATTAAATTCTGAATAAAATTATTAAATTCCGAATAAAAATATTTTAATTCTGAATAAAAATTATCTAATTCCAAATAAAAATTATTTAATTCTGAATACAAATACTGAATTAAAAAAAATAAAAAAATTCAAAATAAAAATGATTTAATTCTGAATAAAATTAATTTATTTCAGAATAAAAATGAGTTAATT